GGGGCTGGGGTTGGGGCAGGTAGTGCCCAGGCAGGGTGGAGCAGGGCATGGGACAGACCCACAGGAGGCTTGTTGGGGGGGGAGGGGGGGCAGCACACATGTGCCCCCCAGATTAATGCATGGGGCGAGGGTGGGCTGCTGACTGCAGGCTTGGGGCCAGGGGTTATGCTGGTCTCTTCCCGGTAGGGGCTGGCCAAGGCTGTGCTTGGGGTGGGTGGTAGCAGTGCTGGGAGGGGGTGCTATGGGGTGGGCTACAGCCACCCCAGAATTTGCCATAGCCACCCCATAGCCCCCCCACTCTGTGCCGCTGCCACCTATCCTGCCCACAGCTGGAAGCCCACCCTCACTCTGCACACAGATACAAGGGGCGCATGTCCCCCATGCCTCTCCCGGGGGTGTGCAGAGCTGCTCCCCCTGCCCACACCATGCCCCACCCCGGCAGGGCAGCACCTGCTCCTGCCCCAGCCCTATTCCCTTCCTCACTGTGGGGCCCTCAATCTGCACCCCCATGCCCCTTCCTCCCCTGCAGACTTACCAGCCAGACACTGCTCTCCAAACTGCCGGGCTGAGTATCAGCTCTCACATCGGTATCGGCCAATTATGGCTGGCTAATAATCAGCCATCGGTATCAGCCAAAAAAAAAATCTTTACTGGTGCACCCTGACTACTGGATCCTAAGTTCTTGCTAAAGAGCTGCCTAAATGTAAATGTCATTTTGAACCTTTAGTCTCTTTGTTCGTCCGGCGATATCCTGTATGCCCATGTTGCTTTATGGAAAGCACTGCTGAGTAACTCAGTCCTACCCTCTGCACATCCCAAACCTGGACAGGAGGTGGTGAAGCCACCATAAGGATGCATCCCGATGCATGTTCTCTAGCACCCCTAGAGCAGCTTCAGCACCTTATTCTGTAGTTTGGTATACACGGCGTGGGAGGGGGTGGGCAGAGCTGTGCTTTGGCGTAAAGCAGGGGTCTCAATCTTTATCTTCCTAAGTTTCCCCCCCTGCAGTGTACTAGAAATACTCCATTGCCCACCTGTGCCACAATTGCCCACATGGCCCCAGGAGCAGCGGACGTGGCTCGGCGGCAGGGGACCCCAGGGCCGCACTCCCCTGAGCAGCAGCAGCGTAGAGCCTCACCTGCCTGCCCGCAGCACTGCCCACACGATGGGGGCCGTGGGGTCAGGCGGGGCAGGCCCACCCCCACACCTTCTTCAGGACACACCACAGCCCCAGGGGGCCAAGGCAGTTCCTCCGCACCGGGCCAGGGGGACCCCCTGAAACCTCCTCGCAGCCCCCAGAGGGCCACAGATCCCTGGTTGAGAACCACTGGCCTAGAGCACTGTGGGAGCAGCATGGCTGTCCCCATCATGAAGGTGGCTTTGTTGCAGGAGTGTCCCACTCCTCCTTGAGACAGAACTGCCTCGCGTGTGACACTTGTATACTCTCCACTAGCATAAGAAATTGGCCTGTTTACCAGCTTATTATATAGTCTCTTGGCTATGAAATGGAGAGAACAAGGGTGTGAAACCTGGGCTAGAAGGACCTAAATACTAACAGACTTCAACTGGTGTCATGCTGGGGTGCTGCTGTCAATCTCCTTTGACCTGTGGCTCCTGACAAAAGAGAGATTGGAGTCCAGAAGGCTATGGGTGTTTCTGCCAGCCGTGCTTTTGTACAGGGATGTTGAGAAGCTAAGAAAAAAATCACAGAAATGATGCAAGGGCTGATGAAAAGGACTTGTAATGAGAGAGCCTGAAACGCTGTGTGCAGCCTATCCAAAAGCAGATTGATGGTACTCCTGATTACGGTATATTGGTGCCCCTATGGGGAGGAAATGCCAGATGCTGTAGGGCTGCTTAATGTACTAGAGTTGGGCGTAATGAGAAGCCGTTGCTGAAACCTGAAGTCATATAGGTTCAAGTTGGAGATAGGCACAAACTTCTAAAGGTGGGGGGCGGCTAATCATTGGTCCAACTCCTGAGGGAATCGGGATTTTCCATTGCTTGCGGTCTTCAGTTCAAGCACAGGCACCGTTTTGGAAGCAAGACTTCAGCCAAACACGAGTTATTGGGCTCCATGTGGGGGGAAATAGATGAACGTTCAGGGCCTGGTAGTATACCAGAGGTCAGGCTAGATGATTTAATAATCAGCGAGTCAACCCCAGGTGGAAAGGAAATGCTGTGTACTTTTTAAAAGGGGTGCGCTGGAAGCTGGAGAAGAGGAGGAAACATAGTGTGGCCAAAAAAACCATTAGCTTAAAACATGGCTTAATAATAAAAATTGCATTTCCTTCCATGCAGATACTTGCCACACTGGGAGACAGAGAGAGAATCCATTTCTCTAAGACATAGTCATGGAAAAGTGGGGCTGGAAGGGACCTCATCTAGTCCAACCCTCCTGCTCAAGGCAGGATCGTCCCTGCCTAGATCAGAACTGTTACCTAAACTTCCTACTTGCAGGGCGAAGCGCTGCAACAGGGACACTGGCATACCACTGCCAGTCGCTTTAGAGCTAGGCTTTGCTTTATGCCAGCTAACGGTGCTAGGCATGGCACAGTCCTCTGCTGAGATACGTGCCTACCACTTCCAGCAACAGGGTATGAAGCTCTTGGCTGGTCCTCTAGCCTGCTGCGTAGCACCATAGGACTGGTGGCTTTCTGTAGCAAACTCCTTCGATTGTAGCATGCATTTCTCTCTTGCCAGTGGCTTTGCCTCCAGTACCAGCCTCTTGTACCCAAGGGCTTTGGCTCGGGTTGCCTATGTACTATCACAAATCTGTGGGATGTGAAGCCATCGAATTACGGCGCTTTTGGAGCAGCCTCAGGTGAAGGCTTCGTGTTGTTGCAGACCTGCCTGTGACTGATTTGTCACTAGAGGGCTGGTGAGCAGGTGTGTGGACAGGTGCCAGGATCTGTCTGCAGTGGGAGAGGAGGGGAGGCTTGGAGAAGGAGAAGCCAGCATGGGATTTGTGGCTTCCCTCCCTCCATAGCAAGCAGGAGCCCAGCCAGAGCAGAGGATGGGAGGGGAGAAATCTTGAAAAACTGTTTGAAGTGAAGTGGGGGGTAAGGTGAAAAGAAAGGAGTAAAATAAAGGGTTTTTTTTTAATTATATAAATTATTTATATATAAATATAAAAATTGTGCATGTCTCAGTGAATTGGGATTGGGTCAGGGATGTTATAAGTTGGGTTATAAGGGGCAGCAAGGGTCATGGTGGCTGGGGTGGGGGAGCTGTCTTGGGCCCAGGGACTGGGGGCAGGGGAAGAATAGCCGGGGCACAAAGCTGAGAGCCAACAGGCTTGTTGCATGGCACAGAGATGAGAAAGCGGGGGCTGTGGGACATGAGGAACTGAGATGAAATGAAGTGGCAGGGCAGCAGCCATGTGGGGGTTGGCTGGCTCTGCAGTTAATGGGAAAGGGGAGGGAAGACCACTAGAGATTTTGGAGCGTGGGAAGGGGTTGAGTGCCTGGGACCTGTGCATTCTGGGGTGCTGGAGGAATGAAAGTAAGGCATTTTATTTCCCCAGAGCATCTGTACCATACTCTGGAGCGACTTTGAAATGAATCAAAGACAAGCCTCAGTTGTAGCAGCATGTCTTTAAAAAGTTTAGAGGGTACTTCCGGCAGTTTAATACCCCTTAACTAGTGACTGCTCTTGTTTTAAATGCCTTCCTGACATTTTTTAGGTAAGTTGTGCTGAGGCCCTGAAATACAGGGAAAATGGCAGATCTGAGCTAGCTACACCTCATTCCTGCTTCTGGCAAAAGGGGCTGGGTGGTTCTGATCCAGAAACTATGACCAGCTACATTGCTCTCAACTGTGTTGCAGCCCCTGAGCTGGACATTAAAATGTTGTACATATTGTTGGATATATTGTACCCCTGAGCTGGACATTAGGATGTTATTAGCACCCATCCCACCCCTTGTTTAAAAGCTGGTGATGTTGATGGAGTGGAGCGGCTCCCACTTTGCATGTGTACATGGCATACTAAACCTGCTTCCTCTCTGTGCTCACTTGCTTTTTTCCCTTGTTGAACTCATAGACAGGCAGGTGAAACCAGCAGCATTGTTTTCCACCGCATGTTGACACGCTCCTTTTTGGTACTGTTGCCGTTTTCTGAGATGGCAGGTTTTTTGTACGGAAAGTCCCGTGATAAAATGACGTGGGTCACTCTCCGTTATCTTGGAGTGGAGATTATCGGAGCACTGTGAACCCTGTTAGCAGGTGGGGTTGTTAAGTGTTTACTCGAGTCTCCACTGAAAAGGAGCCAGAGTCTACGTGATGTTGCCATATGCCTACCCTGGCTTGTATCCCGGTTTGGCACTTTGGGCGTAAAATGGTTTGAACGTGAACTTCTACTTTACGTTTTGTGTGATAAATCATAATAGATTTTTTTTCTATGCCCTCTTCATAGCTGGAATCTGACAAACTGGCCCTACCAGTAAACCCCAACCCTCTCAGCCCCATTCCCAGTCTGAATCAGAAGCCTCCTGATGCCACCATCCTCACCATCGAACCTTCTCCCTCTGAAAAAAACAAGGGCTTCTTCGTCGATGAGTCAGAACCTCTTCTGCGTTGTGATTCGACTTCCAGCGGCTCCTCTGCTCTCAGCCGAACTGGCTCTTTTATTACCAAAGGTACTAAAATTGGCCCTTTGTCCTGCTCCCTTGAAGTTATTTTGAGAACTGTGTGCAAGGCTGGACGTGCTAGTCTCTGCCATCCTGAGGAATACTGTTGCATTCTGCAAAGCTAAGAAGCTATAGTCCACGTGGAAGGAATTGCACTGGCAGAGTAATGGCAGTACAGTGTGGCAAAAATAAGGGAAGTTTGGGTATTGAGAGGGGCATTTACTTGATTTCACAATAGACTAGGAGTCCGCAAACTGTGAGTCACAGGTCACTGGTGGTCTCTGGGGCCATGGTGCAATCCATGGATTTGCAGACCAAGTCCTTCTTCCTCCCCAGCCTCCATTGAATTAAAAGTTTCATTCAGGTGCCCCCTAAAAAAATGATAGGGAGGATACCTGAGGTTGACAGTGGTTCCACTGGGTGAAGACTTCTCACCAGGATCTGGGAGAACATCTGTTCGCCAGAGCACCCGCAATGGGTGACATGGTCAAACGGTCATAAACTCCTCCGTGACCGTTTCAGGCTGGACATAAGGAAGAACTTCTTTACTGTCCGAGCCTGCAAGGCCTGGAACAGACTGCTGCAGGAGGTGATTCAAGCACCTACATTGAACAGCTTCAAGAGAAATTTGGTTCTTTATCTTGCTGGGATCCTATGACCCCAGCTGACTTCCTGCCCCTGGGGCAGGGGGCTGGACTCTGACCTTCTGAGGTCCCTTCCAGCCCTAATGTCTGTGAAATGATGATGCAGGTACCCATTTTCCTACTGGTGGGCATGGCATAAAGATGAGTGGAAAAGACAAAGAGGTTTAAATGGATCCTGTCAGATTAAAAAGGTGTTTCTCTAACATTTGTACAATTTCTTTCCCTAGAACATCATCTTGGGTGTTAACCCAGGTCCCACTAACAGCAGTGGACAATCTCCTGTGGCCTCTACTTAGTTTTGCATTGGCATAGTATTGCAGTTTTACTTTCCGTGCTTGGTTTTCAGTGGGTGAATTTCCTCCCTTTGGAAGGATTTGTTGTACCTCCTTTTAAACTGGGGAAATGTACAATCACAGGGATGTCTGGGGTTGCATCAAAATCTATTTTTAATTCATTCAGTTTTAACAGACTGGACTTCAATGCAGTAAATTATTTTGGCCACCATTATTTTTATTCCCAGGACACCCTGTTCCATGTTACATGTTGCATCTTCCTCTGATCCTTGCAGAGAAGGGTGTTTACATTAGGCCCTTTTGGTCAGTCACAGCATGAATTTGAGTTTGTAAATTTTTCTTTACTTTAGGGGACTTTAGAAAAGAAAAAAAAAGTCACTTGTAATGAAGGTGAAGAGTAAATCCTGTGAATTGTCTACACTTTAGCAAAAAAAACCCCAAAAAATTAATGTAGAGATTAGTAGGATATTCCAGTTATCACTTGGGATTTTTGCCCCTCTTCTTTTCCCAGTGATGCCAGCACTTGCAGCGCTGTTGTATGGAACAAGTATCTTGGCAGGAGATTGGATATTAGGTGATAAGTAGGCCTTCTCCATCTTTAGTCTCCAACTACCCAACCCACCCATGCTTTTTCCTATCTTTCACAACTTGCCATTTGCTCCCTAAAAGTTGGGCTGGAGCCTGGGAGCGGTATAGACTTGATTCTTGGTCTTTGTGCCATTAGAAGCATGCTCTTCCCACAAACGGTGCCTTAATAACCAATCCTGTCTTGCTTTTGCAGAAAAAAAAGACACAGTTTTGCGTCAGGTGCGATTGGATCCTTGTGACCTGCAGCCCATCTTTGATGACATGCTTCACATCCTAAATCCTGAGGAGCTCCTTGTGATAGAAGAGATTCCACAGGCAGAGGACAAGCTGGATAGGCTATTTGAGATTGCTGGGGTCAAGAGCCAGGAAGCCAGCCAAACACTCCTGGACTCTGTGTATAGCCACCTTCCCGATCTGTTGTAGACATTGGTCACCGCACACTCTGAATATTGCTAGTACTAGCTTGGCACTTGTTCAAGGTGGTTGACAACATGCAGGCAGGTGTTTGATAGAATTACATGGCCAGTATTTTCTTCAAGGTCTCTTGGGTTTTGGGTGGGGGCAGTTTACAGACATTGCACCTTTCATCCTTAACTTTGTTGCAGAATTAAAATCTTGGCTGCTGCCCCCAGGCCCTTCTGAGTGACCTTTTTCTGTTCTCATTCCGCTCAATCGTTTTATGCACTTTAAAAATGCAGTTAATTAACTAAAGACCACAAATCCAGCATAATGTATGTCTGGAAGCTGGAACTGTTTTAACCCATTTTTGGTTTGATCAAATGTCTTATTTTGAGGTACCTCTCCTCGTCATACATCTTTTATCCCTCATGCCCCCTGCGCCTCAGTGGTGAATGGGAAAGCGTGCAAAGTGTATGTCGTTGTTGGTTGCTTTCTCTCCTGGTATCTCGCTTTTCTTTTCTTTTTCCTTCAGTTGACTTTTTTTTTTTTTTAATGTACTGTTGTATAGGTCCTATTCATTGCTCAGATTTTACTCGCACAGGTATTTATTGTATGGTTTTTCACCTGGACAATGCATAGAATGCTTGATTTACTTGTGCTCCTGTAAGCTAATGCAGAAATGTGTTTGAAAGACATGAAAAAGGTTTAATTCCTCCGGCCTTCAGGATTGACGTAACACAGTCCTTCTGGCCTGCAGCCGAATGTAACGCAAGCAAGGAGCATCTCACCTTGCCACTTGTACGTGCAGCAGGCCCGTTTCTGAAACGTCTTGATCAGCACTGGTGCTGGACTCTGGAAGGTGAAGGAAAACCCTGGTGGTACCACCCTTCTCGTGATCATAAAACTTACCAAGCTCTGCTTTTTACACTCGTGTCTCTTGGGTTTTTTTTATACAGACGTGGCCACTAGGTTAGGTTCCAGAGACCTTGCCTGGTCTGAATTGTCTCTTTATTTTTTATTTAAAAACTAAAAAAGGCTGCATTGTAAGAATTCTGTCTTATTATATTTGCAACAGTTATGCTCCCATATGAACTGTCCGTAATATGCTCAGTTTGAAAAATTATAATACAAAGGTGGCATCTGCTACCTCCGGGGTGGGGTGAGGAGGGGGAATGACATTGAGAAATTGCCTTCTGGTGTACTAATTTATTAATAAATACTAGGTGTTTGTTACTTGGCATGCTTTGGTGTTAATCTCCTCACTGCTTCACTGCGCTCATTGGATCCCTTGACATCGCTGATCTCAACCAAAGGGGGAGAACCTGTTTTGGGAAGCCCTGGTCTTGATCTGAGATCTTGATACAGGACTGGTGCTAAGGGGGCTGAGGCTATAGAAAATGTGTGTAGGTGCAAGAGTAGGTCTTAGATGCTAGGGGCAACTGCACTCAATTGGTGCCTGTTGCACACATCCATTATGGGTATTTCATTTGTGCCATCACTGTAAGACTGGTGTAGGGCACAGTGGAAGCAGCAAAGACAGAGAGAGACACTTCTGACCTAGGCTGACATTGCTCCGGGCTCTCTGTCTTCTCAGTGTTACTCCCCGAGATGTTTGTTTAGATTTTGTATTGGCCTGTGGCTGAGTTTCAGGTTTCAAAGACTGGATAGAGACTTTAAGGCTAGATTGGGCTCTCCTAGGGAGGCCTAGAGGGTCAGATGAAGTTGACCTTTCACAGATTAAAATGAATCTGAAACCCATGCACCCCAGACCCCTGAAGTCTCTGGTTGTGTAGCAGAGCAGGGGTTGCAGAGACCAGGGCTGGTGGGATGAGCCTGTAGGGGAGACAGTGGTCTTGATCTAAGATTAGTGCTTCCAGATACCCATGGCTGAGTTGACTTAAAGGGTTGGTTATTACAATTCCTGTGGCTCTCCCTAGCAGTACTCTTCAGCTGTTAAAATGTACTAGCGTCCCAGTACTCCTGGGTTGCAGCTTCTGCACTCATCCGTCCTTTGCCTCTGAGCTACTGCTAGCAGCATTTCTGGATGACCTGTTACATGATTGATGTCCATCCGTATACACAACCACAGCTTGCAAATAACGGATCTATAGTTATTCTGTTCTGTGCATGGAAGGAGGATGGGATGAGAGTTTCTGTGTGTAGTACTGTCCTGCTGCAGACCTAGCAGGAAAGGACACAGAGCCAGTCTCATCCAGGTGTTGTGTTTCAGAAGACTTCCACAAAGAATGCCTCAGACAGGTGCAGTAAATACCTGGCTAAAACAAGATTTACAGCCACAAACTGACAAAAACAGCTGATGCAAAAAACCTAGTCAAAATGTGTGCGTTCTTTCTATGTACAGTGGCATACAGGTCAGAACGCCTGTCCCACTTGCTGTAGGAGTCATTACAGACAAATTAACAGTCGCAAAGGTAGCTGGATCGGATGCTAGCTCTGGTACTTGACTGGTGCAGTCTGGAAAGAAGTGGAACAAAAAGCCTTTTTGTCTTTAGGGTGTGGCGGCTAAAGCAGCTCACAGGTTTGGAATTTGAAGTCCTGGGGAGCTGTTTTAATGGCTGAGACTATCAAAGATGCATTGTAAATGCAACTTAACTCATGGATATTATCACCCTAAGTGCAGGCATTAGAGCTTTAGGCTACAGCATCCCCTGTCCTTTTGTCTACGTAGACTCATAAATCTTGAGAACAGGAGAGCAGATGGGCAGGGTTGATTAGTTCACGACCTGCAGGTACAAAGCCAAGCCATAAATTCTGTGTGAATGACGCAACGTGGCAGTAACTCCTACTGTAACTGTATAGAAACAACTGAGTACAGAAGGCTCTGAAAGCAAAGATCAGGTTATTTAGACCTCAAAAGAGATGGGGAAACAGTTCTAGTCACTCTTCCACTTTGCCCTGTGTAACTGGAAGCTCTTGAGCAAGCCAGAGTAGCAAAACAAAACCACGGGCAAAATTTCTTTGCATCCGAGAGACTGCATTGTGGCTCTGCTTGTGTCTAATTTGAGCAAGGCTGCTTTCTGCAGAGAAGAGATGTGCCCGTTCAGGTTGTCTCTCTTCCCTTCTACCTTTTGTACCAACTTGCCTTCCCTGTCCAGTCTGTGTTGCATTTGTGGCTGTATAAGTGCCCCATACTCTTGATACTCCTGGTATGCCTAAGACCTTTTATGCTGTTTCCTGACACTGCTAGTACCTTAGCAGTCTGGCTGCTTGAGCCAGATAGTTTTGCACATACAAATAGGTTTACCAAAAGGTTTTGGAAGGGACAAGGGTGAACACCAGCCCCAGGAGAAAGGGGATGTGAACTTGGAGAAGCTAATGAACCAGTTGTGAGAGAATAGGATATGGATAATCTAAGGGTGTCTACACAGCAATAAAGGTGGGATTGTAACAGGGGTAGGCTGTCTAGTTAGCTCACTTAATTGCCATGAAACAGGCATGAAGCTCAGTATAAGCTAGTACCTGGTCTTCCAGCTTTGGCTTGTTCAGCCATGCCAGAGTACTGTATGTGTTGCTTTTACCTGAACTAGCTACATGAAAGGTAGTACAAGGATGCTTAACCCAGGCTCTGCTACATGACAGCTCTGAAAATTTGTTGTGGCAGAATGTGCAAGAGATATCTCATACATCTTACTGAGACTTACTGAGTCACTTTGAGGCCACTGAAGAACCATCAGCTGATGCAACATTGGCTGCTGTCAAGTTTAACTGGGCTTCGACCATGATCCAGTGGATTGGGAATCAGTTCACAATGGTTGTGGGACAAGGTGCAGGCACATATAACAATTGAACCATTCATAGATTTCATAGACATTAGGGCTGGAAAGGACCTTGAAGATCAAGTCCAGCCCCCTGCCCCAGGGGCAAGAAGTCAGCTAGGGTCAAAGGATCCCAGCAAGATAAGCATCCAAGCGTTTCTTGAATGAGTAGGTGCCTACACCACTTCCGGAGGGGGTCTATTCCAGGTCTTGGGGGCTTGGACCAGAAAGAAATTTTTTCTTCTGTCTAGCCTAAAACGGTCTTGTGCGAGTTTATGACCATTGGTCCTTGTTTTTCCTTGGTGTGCTCTGATGAACAGACATTCTCCCAGGTCCTGATGTACACCCCTTATGTACTTATAAGCAGCCACCAGGTCCCCCCTGAGCCTGCGCTTTTCTAGGCTGAAGAGTCCCATGGCTCTCAGCCTCTCTTCATAAGGCCTACTCTCTTGCCCTCTGATCATGTGCGTGGCTCTCCTCTAGACTCTCTCAAGCTTCTCGACATCCTTCTTGAATTGTGGAGCCCAAAACTGGATGCAGTACTCCAGCTGCGGCATACAGCGTGAGGATGACATCCTGAGATTTACTTGAGAAGTATCTATAGATGCAAGTCAGAGTTTGGTTTGCTTTACCAGCTGCGACCATCACATTGGTGGCTCATGTTTATCTTATGGTCAGTCATGACCCCCAAGTCTCTTTCAGCAGTGGTGCTAGCAAGCGTAGCAGTGCCAAACCTATAAGCATGCTGTGGGGTTTTTTCCCCTGAGGTGAAGTATCTTACATTTATCAGTACTGAAATTCCATTAGGTTTGTATCCTCCCACTTACTAAGTTTATCCAAGTCAGCCTCGATCACTAGCCTGTCCTCAGGTGTGGATGCTATGCCCCAAAGTTTAGTGTCATCGGCGAACTTAGCCAGTGCTCTTCTGACACCAATGTCCACATCACTGATAAAGATGTTAAAGAGAACTGGTCCAAGGACAGAGCCTTGGGGGATGCCACTGGTCACGGAGCACCATAATGATTTGCTGCCATTGACCGCTACTCTGGGTCCGAGCCAATTTCCCAGCTACTGGACTGTGGTGTAGCCGAGGCCACAGCTGGCCAATTTTTCCTTGAGGAGGTCATGGGACACCAAATTAAAGGATTTTTTAAAGTCCAGATGTATGACGTCAATCTGTTCTCCCTTGTCCAGGTGATACGTCACCTGGTCATAGAAGGAAATGAGATTGGTCAGGCAAGACCTACCTGTGACGAACCCATGCTGACTATCCTTCAGGGTGCTACCCTCAGCCAGCTTATGCAGAAGGCTCTCCTTGATAATTTTCTCAAGAACCTTACCAGGGATTGAGGTCAAGCTGATTGGCCTGTAATTCCTAGGATCTACTTTCTGCCCTTTCTTGAAGATGGGTACCACGTTGGCCTTCTTCCAGTCTTCAGGTACTTCACCTGAGCACCACGAATTTTCAAATATTTTTGCCAATGGTTGAGCTATGACACCTGCCAGCTCCTTAAGTACCCTAGGGTGTAGTCTGTCAGGACCAGCTGACTTGAAAGTGTCCAGCCTCTTAAGGTGATCTTTTCCTAGATCAACACCAGTGCTGGGTACAAATACGCCCTCACCCTAGCTGTCCCGTGTCTTGCTAGGGAGGGCGGTCCCATTGGACTGATAAAAGACCAACGAGAAGTACGCATTGAGCAGGTTGGCCTTTTCCTGGGTGTCGGTTATCAGTTGTCCCACTTGGTTCAGCAGGGGTCCAGTGTTACCCTTCGCTTTTTTTCCGACTCCCTACATATCTGAAGAAGGATTTTTTGTTATCCTTGATATGTGAAGCCAGATAGAGCTTGATTGCAGCCTTGGCTTCCTGATCTGCTCCCTGCAGGTATAGGCCAGTGCTGAATACTCCTTGTTGGTGGTAATTCCAGCCTTCCAACCTTTTGAGGTGTAGGAGGTCCTCAAGTTCCCTGCTGAGCCCTTTTGCTGCCCTTCCTCTGAGATGGGATGGCCATCCCTTGTGCTGTCAGGCTCGCTCCCTTGAGGAGCAACCACTTCTCTTGGACTTCTCTTCCCGTCAAGTCGTGGTCCCTTAGGGCCTCACTGGCAAGCCTCCTGAGCTTGTCTAAGTCAGCTTTCTTGAAGCTGAGGACTTCTGTATTGCTCACTGACTTGCCAGCTTTGCGATGGATAGTAAAGGTGATCAGCTCGTGGTGACTGTCACCCAGCTTTCCATTGATTCTTAGGTCACTAACTAT